ATTCTTGTAAAAATATCTATTGAAAAAACTGATGGCATAGAAAAATCGAACGTTTCTTACAATATTGTCGTTTAATATTTTTGTCATGATTATTTCTTTTTCTTCTAATTTTTTTAGTGTACCTTACGAGAGTCATCATCTTTATTGTAGATAAAAAAAAAAAAACTCGAAAAATAAACCAAAATAATTAACGTAGCTCATACATGAAACTTTAGTGCACTGGAAAATTTGAGATATGAGATTTTGACTCATCTTAAGGACTTTCAACGAACTTAGAAGTTTTATAGGATTTATTAGTATAAATTAGTACTTTGTTCATGTATAGTTACCACAGAGCATGATCCATCCAATATTTCTAAAAAAATTGTTAGCCAAATATTTAGTAGAAGTTTTTGCTAAAATTATGCTGATTTTGATTAGATATAGGACTTCAAATTTACTTCAATTTAGAAAAGAAATTCGATTGTGTGCTTAAAAATAACAACTGAAAAATCGGTGCATTCGTTTTATCAATCAGTAGAAAACTCTAGAAAGAGTGAAAAAAAAAGGTCATGAGGAGTGATGGTGATATTAGGTTACAATTGTTAGGTGTTGTATTCATTATGATATCGATAAACCACCACTTTCGGACCTTCGTAAATTGTTTCAACAGAACAATATATTAAACTGATATCGAATTGATATTGAGTAATTACTATGTGACAGTTAGCGTCTAAAGCAAAATAAAAGTATCATAGCATGAGATAAATTGTATGTAATTATTCAACGTCGATTATATATATGTAATATATGCTATCAAAAACGCAATGCTTTATAGATTTTCGTATTTTCTGTTCGTATGATTCTAAAAAAAATGATTTAAATCGAAATAATATACTAAAATTTCGCTAAACAATAAATAAAACTTGACGAAATCCAAGAAATCGAATAAACATAGCCAAAATCTTAGTTGTTATTTTTGATTCGTGATTCGTTGTATTTAAAAATATTCATCTTAATATTAAAACTAAATTTTTGTTTTATGTCTTAATCTATTTTTCGAATAATTCTACATTTCAAAACTTTTGGAATGTGAACATGTTTCAGCCTGAAATTAATTTGTTCAAATTTAGTCTTGAGTTTAACTATTCGATGTAGATAATTTTTATTGTTGAACATTCCTAAAGAATAAATCTTGATATTAACTCCTGTAAATTGTTCATGAAACTATTTCTTGACTAAACTACACTGATTATAATAATAAATCATCAAATTTAAATCATTGTTGGGTAAAAGAAATAGTTTCATATAAATGGTTCGATTCTGAATAGCTTTTTAAATCCTGAATCTTCATTCTGGGAACCATTCAACTAATTTATGAAAAGATTCTTTAATGATTGTTGAATAGCGTGAAAAATATTTTCTGCTAATGATGCATTAACGACCGTATAGGGTTACTACTCGATTTTAACAGTGTCGATGGAGATTTTTCACAATACTACAAAATCGAAATGAATATAAAAGATAGAACTAATGACATGAAGTTCAAATAGCTATGTAAAACCCTAACAGATATTATAAATTCAAGCAGCTGTAGAAAATTTCAAGATTTTTTATACTAACAATAATTTGATTACTTTTGAAAATGATTGTTGCAGTTGCTGTTATCCATCTCAGCACAGAAGTTGTACTATTTTCTGATGTCGAATCAACACTGCTTGTTCTCAATGAAAGTTTCATGTTTCTCACCATCGAGTAAACCCTAGTAACTGTAAATAACTCTCGTTTATGGATGTGAAAAATCAGGTTCCGTGCCGTTTTATACTCATGAATTCCTCTGTCTTTTTCTATGAAGATAATTGAGACACTTGAAGCATAATCAGTAAAAGCATATCCATAATTTTTGCTCCACAGAACAAGTGAATGTTTTTCTGATAAATACTTTCCATTTGTACATAGCTGAACCGTTCGGAGGTACAATTCCATTGCCAATTTGTGTGATTAATAATGTCTTGGAATAAGTTGCTACTAAAATGAAAGCCTAAAGTTTATGAGAACAAAATAAATCTTTGGTATCAGTTAAAATTATATTGGAAAAAAAAATAAAAACATAAAACTGTTTTAATGTTCTGTTAAAACATTGTGTGTAAAAAATACATAGAGAAAGCTATCTTGCATTTATTTTATAAACGCTAAAATTGAAAAAAAAACATTCAAAATTGAATTCAAACAAGTTACATTAGCAAAAATCAACCTTGTGTGTTCAAAGCAGAATTTAATTACATAACTTTAGTGATGAGAGTGTAGATGTGGGGTGTGAGTGCGAGATGTGGGTAATTCTGTTTTCTTCATTCACATCCACACCTAAACGTATAACGTATCTCATATATTGACACTTAATGGATTTGATTCAAACTTCTTCTACACATACTAGGGATCATCAGATTACTGTTATTGAGTGGATCATCCTTCCGAACCCTCAGGTTTAGCCAAAGGCAAGAAAGGGTTAAAGAGTTAATTAAAACGACGAAATTTCGTATAGAACATTTTTTGTAGACAAATAATAGAATGTCTTTTTCATGTAACTAGAATTTTTCGACTTTCCTACATCAAACAAGCTAAGACAAAGAATTCTCTTGTCAGCATTTCCATAAATTCTCCACTATATATATATTTTCTATATCGATATTTACATAATAATACTTTAGCGCGGGAAAATTTCGGAAATTTCGGTTAACCGCAGCCTATCTCGTCTCATCCGAGGAAAAAAGTCACTAAGGCGGAGTCTCGTCCGATTTCAAACGTCTGTTAGGTACATCGTATAATTGTTTGAATTTGTTTTTCACGTCGAGGAAATATCTTTAAGAATTTTCGTAAATGTTTAGTTTGTTAACTTTGTTTGTTTTATTTTCTTATCTAATAATCAATAAACGTTTTTATTCATATAAGAATTTCTATAATCGATTTTTTTCGAGTTTGATCCATGATGAACTTTTTCTATATGATATATTCTTAGTTGCATAGTCATTTGTTATACTAGTGAGAAAATAATAGTTAAATATATATTTTTCATGTAGGAAGTTGACAACATGAAAATATTTATTCGAGCTCAATCCATATTGACAAAAATAATGACGGACAATGTTCAAAAGATTCTTATTTGAATATGATTGTCGTATTCTAGAAGATTCGATCGAATTCGGGTCGAATTGATCCATCTACATGATTAAGAATGAAAAAAAAAACGAGGTATGTCAATCTAAGAATAAATATAGGATAGAGTGTATGCAATTAACATTATTTTAACTCGTATCAATCGTAACGTCTATAATAAAAATTGACTATATACAAAATATGTATTAGTTTTTTTTTTCTTAAAGTTCAGTTCGAGTTGAATTCAGTGAGTTTACTAGTGTTGTCATTTGAATTCAATATAACGGATGGGGCAAAAGTTTTGCATTAATTTTGTTTTTGATATAACTCTGCAACGTAATGTCGTGGAGACTTGATTTTTTTTTGTTAGAAAGAGCAAAGTGTCTAGTGCAAGAATATATAAAAGAGTTTGATTGAAAATGTTTTTCGACAACTACAATAATCTTAGAACAGAAGGCGTTGGAAAACTCTTCCGCAACCTTTTTGAACTTAGAAAAAAATTCCTATAATTAGAAAGGTTATCTTTTTATTCGTCTAATCCGGATTTTATAATATAAGGATAGAGCACTATTGCGTTAAAAAAAAAAGAAATTTTCTACATGTTTTATAACGGTCGAAATGAACGCTTTATATGATATCGTCTGTTTCATCAATTCTTTATCATTGTTGGTAGCAATCGAAAAAATAAATTCTATTTCGCAGGAGAGATTGCTAGAAGCTATATATTTTATACGGAAAAGAAAGTTTATTGAGTCCTCTACCAAACGATATTATTTGGAATAGGACGCAACTTCTCTATGAGATATTCAGAAAAAAACTTATTTTCACGCTGCAAAACCAAATTCGAACAATTAATTTGTTTTTATCAACGTGTCTTTTGTTCATACTCTTGTATGTTATACCAATTATTTTAATACCAAATGAAAACCTCCGTTGTAATGAGCAACTGTATATATATGGTGCTCGAAAGTGTCGAAAGTGGCTAATGAAAAAGGCTCAAACCAATATTTTTGGATTAAAAAAATGTGACCGAAGTTGTGGAAGAGTTTTTCGGAGCCTTGTGTTCTAAAACTATTATAGCCTTCGAAAAATATTACAACTCAAATTCTTTTATATATTTTTTCACTAGACACTTTGCTCTTTCTAACAAAAAAAAAATAAGTCTGTACGATATTGCGTTGCAGAGTTATATCAAAAACAAAATTAATGCAAAACTTTTGCCCCACCCGTTAGTAATCACCATTTGTCAGATTTCTATTTAATTTGAATTTTTTTTTTTATTAGATTACAGAATATATCAATCAATAGATTTTATTTGCATGCTTATTAGTTTTTATTTCGATTTAGTTCAAACTAAAATATAAGATTTATCTCTTTATATTATTGGTGGCTTTTGTTTCGTTTTTATCAAATATTTAAATCGAAAAAATCAACGTCTATATAAAATATTTATATTTCCATACTCACAGAAAGAAAAATAATAACATCTTAATCTTTTTATGATAATTCGAAATGATATTCAAAAATAAATAACGAAATAATTTGATTGATAAATTTGACTGTTTTCAAATTGAAATTCTTATTTGTTCAATATCGATTAAATATTCTTATAAGCCGGTTTACTCGGTGACATTTTTCGATCATGATTAAACCTATCAGTAAAAGAAAAAATAGTAAAAAGCAAAGAAACAAAATGAAATTCGATCAATGTCAATACTCGAACAGAATGCGATTCTATCGAATAAATCATTATGGCTTCTTTCTCATTTATCAAATTTTTAATTCTATATATTTTTATAGATGTAACAAACAAAAATAAAAATCATTTTATTATATTTATTTTCAGATACACATACACACGCTTATTGATGGATCAGTTTCTATATAATCGTGTGCCTATTGTTCCAAGGCTAATTCAACCTCAATGGTCATCCAAGGTAATCATTTATTAAATTATATTCTAATACTATTATTCAATGAAAACAATAAAATTTCTAATAATATTACATTGTTTTTAATCTCTATTAGATAGCACCAAATAATAATGATAGAGAATATAATGGAAATTGTTATAGAAGTGAGATTCCATGGAGGACATCAATTCAACCACTAGGTATTCAACCACGATCATCAACAGGACAACACAAGTCAAACAATAATTATCAATACGAACAATCTTTGTCGAATTCATTACCATCTATGGATAATGTTGAAATATCATCAAAACAACGTTTTCAGTAAATTGAACTATTACATTTATTTTATTTTCATTTAATTTTTATTTTTGTTTTAACATAGAAACGAAATCTATTATCAGCCGCTCAAAGGTGGTGAGAGGCGAGATCAACAAGAAAATTTTCCTAACTATTATCCATTTACTCATACAAAACCTGAACAAAACTTAAAACTAGATACAAATCATACTATTGGCAAATGTTTCAAGAGATTGATTATTATTCACTGTACAATCATTTCTCTATTCGCCATAACAGCAATGGCCATTAGTATTTATTTACTTATTCGTGTAACGGCAACAACATCAACAAGCACAACAAGTAAAATACATATAATACATAAAAAAAATTTATATTATATATTTAAATATGATTTTAACTATCTATCTTATATAGAAGTGTTCCCTATATCATAATCAGCTTATTTATATAGATTCTTTTTTATATTAGATATGAGCATAGACATTAGTTTTTTTTTAATGTCCTATCTTGTCAATATTTGAAAGAAAAGAAAAATTCTTGTTTACTGTGGAAAACATTTGATATCTTTTGTTGTGTTAATCTACGAGTTTAGAATTCCTCTTCTAATTAGTTGCTAATTTATATATAATTATGTAGTTGACAAATCAAAGAAAAAACCCAATATAAAAAGAGTTCTACTATATTTTTTGAATAATAGACCATTATTATTAGCATTCTAGTCATCATTATTATAGAACAAAGATAAATTTTCTTTAACAGCTGCTACTACTACTTCACTTCGTTGGAGCTCAACAGGAATAACAATAGCTGGTATTACAGGTTCACCGGGTTCGGCTTCGAATCAATTGCATACACCTTATCATTTAGCATTAGATTCAACTGGTTCACTCTATATTGGTGATTCGGATAACCATCGAGTTCAAAGATATTTGAAAGGTGCATCAACTGGAACAACAATAGCTGGTCAAAATGCAACAGCAAGCAATGCTTTAACAAATTTAAATTATCCTACTGGTATTGTTCTCGATTCAACTAATAATATTTACATAGCAGATACAAGCAACAATCGAGTTCTATATTGGCCTAATGGTGGATCATCAGGAACACAAATTGCTGGTTCAAGTAAGATATTAAGAGAAAAACACTTATTGCAAATCACTTATATACATACGAGACATTACTTTGAGACTTAGTCATCATACAAAAAAAAAAAACAAACCGACTATAGTATATAACAATGAAAAATTTTCTATGATTTGTTTTTGGTAGTTTTTAACTGAATGAAATATCTCTTTTTATAGATTAAATATTATAGAACTAAAATAAAAGTATGTCGAATTCTTTTTTGTTTTTGTTTCGTTTTGTTTGACTTGCAAACAATAAAATTTAAAGAAAAATTTTCGATTAAATATCTATATTTGAATTCAATTTATGTCAATAAAGTTTTTTTTTCATATATATATATATTCAGGTTCGTCTGGTTCATTGAACAATCAATTAGACCAACCATATGGTATTGTACGTGATTCAAATACGGGTACACTCTATATTGCCGATACAAACAATAATCGTATAATGAGTTATGCATCAGGAGCATCAAACGGTACTCTCGTTGCTGGAGGAAATGGAGGAGGAACAGGTTCTACACAATTATTTGGTCCTAGAGGAATTTATTTTGATTCATCGTCAAATAGTGTAATTATTGCTAATTTTGGTGCTCATAATATTGTTCGTTGGACTCTAGGTCAGACTTATTGGACACTTGTTGCTGGTATTACTGGATCATTTGGTAGTTCATCAACACAACTTAACAGTCCTGTCGGTGTGACACTCGATAGTATGGGAAACGTTTATGTAGCTGATACAGTAAATCATCGTATACAACTTTTCTTAGCTGGTCAATCAAATGGGACAACTATCGCAGGTATTACAGGTCTAAGTGGAAGCAATGCTACTTTACTCAATACTCCATTTTCAGTAGCACTTGACAGTCAACGGAATTTATATGTCGCAGACATGGCTAATAATCGAATACAACAATTCATGACATACTAAAATGAATATTTGTTCAACATTTTACTTTGTTTAATATCAATATTATTTAACTTAATTCACTTTGATTTATATTTAATCTAGCCTTTTCTATCTTGAAAGCAGTTTGAAAGTTAAATAAAATAAAAATTCTATAGATGATATAGATCAATAAACTGTTATTCATAGTTAAATCTTATTCTATGATCAATGAAAAAAAGAGAAATATTACATATCATAATATGATTAGGTTATATGTAAGAAATAATAGGAATTATACAACAGAACAGACTAAATAAGAAAATAAACTATTATTAAACAAATAAGTTTATTCATGTTAATAGTAGAATATTTTATTTATTTATCTTATGTATTTTGTGCAGCAATTTGATTTTCAATGAACTGAGTGAATGCATTGTATACTTCATCTTTAGATTTACTTCGATCATAATCGAATGTACCACTTGCAGACTTCCCATTAAGTTTTACCAAATGAAAACTTGGATGATAATATGAAGCACGATATGTACACGTCATATCACCTTTTATAGAATAATTCAAATCAATTAAATATTATATATTGATTATATTATTTTAGACTTATACCTTTTTGTAAAGTAAGTCCAATATTATTGCCACATCCCCAAAAGTTATCTTTTGAGTCAACATGACACCATCCATTCCATACTTCATCACTATTACCACCAAAATTCCAATTCTGTTCACCTGATTGTATAAACACTTGCATTCTTAGTAATACACCTACGTTTATTCTTCGACACGACCAAATAATTCAATAGAATGTTAATACGACTGAAATCGCTATTACATATATATATAGAACGTTTACAAATGAGTCACTCATGCAATACACGTGTCACTTCTCTCTCGTTGAGTATTAACACAACAACTATGAAAATAGAAAAGAATGAGTCATCAAATGAGTAAGCAAATACATAGAGAAAAAATATATAACAAAACAAAAGCAAATGATAATGTATAGATGAATAAAGAGAAAATAGAAAGAAGAGAGTTAATTCAATACATCTATTGAGATGGTTTTTCTCATGACAACTAGACATATTGAATTAGCATTTAGATTTAAATAATGATAATGTTTAACTATTAGAATTAGCATTAAGTTATGCTAATGATAAGACTAATGCGACATTCTTTATCATAATATTAGTCAAAAATGATATATCAGAAAAGAAAGAAGATATTTTAATTAACCATCAATAACAATGAATAATATCATTCGAAATAAACATTACAATTATTTATGGTGAATACATAGGATTTCCTCTATAAAAAGAACCTTTATGAATTTTAATCTTTTTAATAAGTATTATTATAGATTAGATGCTTTATTTGAATTTCCGAACACCCCTTTTGTTTACTGTTCATAAAGATATAGGAGGTATTGGAGGTATAGAAATTGATTTTTTCGAGCAAGGTGTAGCAAATGGCAGCAACGAGCAAGGTTTGGCAAGTGGCAACAATATATATTTTATGAATAGATATTTAAATTTAAACATCATTGAATGATCAGCTGTACCAATTAATCAATATCTCCAATATTTTCTATACCTTCTATATCTTGATTAATAGGAAACAAAAGAGGTGTCCAGAAATTCAAATAAAGCATCATACAGTATTATAAAAGAATTTAAAATAAGAACCTATCATTTAAATGTTTATTATCATATATTTACATTGAAAATATTTTTTATAAAAGAAAATTTATTTTATATGAATTCGTATGAAAAAGTCAGTTAGAAATATATTTCAAATAAGATACTAATTCAATTAGTATGTTGTGATCTATAAGCACATTCAACAGGAATAATAATCGAGCATTTATCTTCTTTGATTCTTGTTTAGTAAAATTTTATTTATTCTAAGGTTTTTTTATGAATTATTTTTTTTAGATCTATTCAATAAATAATTGAATAGATAAAGGTATTCAAATGAGACGATAAATTGACTAATTAAATTAATCTAAAGAGAATATATTTATTATTAAATTATTTTTTTTAGTTACTTTTGATTTGCTCCTATCTTCTCGATATTTTCCATTAGAATTTAACATAAAGATCCTACGATATATTAAAATGAATATTAGCCATTAAGCTATTATTGTAATATGTGGGTGTGAGTGTGGAGATATTTATTTTCTTAACCCCCACTCACGCCCACCCACACATCCACACCCAAAAGATTTCACAGGATACAAGCGTCGACGCTCACTTGATGTTAAAGACTCGAACACAACAACAGCCTCATTTGTTGGTGAGAAATAGTTCAAAACAGTTCATTGAAAAAAACACGTTCGCCACAAAAGAACATTTCATCATTAAAAGAAGTGCGTCAAATGAAAAAGAAATTCATCATAAAAAATCTTTTACCAGAGAAAGAAAAAATAAACGTGCACACAAAACTAATAAATACGAAAAAAACAATATTCTGAATTATTTTTGCAGGTGACGAACGGTTGTAGTAGGATACTTTTATTTGAAAGAAAAGAGAAAGAAACGAATGTCATATCGCTACTCATAAAGAGTACTGATTTTATACCGTTCCATTGTTTATCGAAAGAAATGATTGCTTTTAAAAGTATATTTGAAGAGTGTCTGTGGGCACCGTTTAAGGGAACACATGGATTCCATTATAGAAGCACGCGAAATTATATGATAGCGAATGGGTTTTGTACAAAAAAGTAGTCGCAATTAAAGAATGAATCTTTGAAATATACAATTCTCTGTTATTGCTTATCTTTTTATTACACTTTTTTCAAATATTAGGCTTGTCGTATAAAATTCAAAGGTTCCACTTGTTACATAGGCTCAGTGGTTTCACTTCACTAAGATATTTGTTTAGTATAACGATTTCAAGCTATCACATGAGATAATTCGAATTTTCCTGCTGGAAAAATAAATCAGTGAGATAACTCGATTTGATTTCTTTAACAAATGTCACTGTGAAATAAGTCAAGCTATGTCATGGGGTAAGCCGACTTGTCTTACACTCAAGAGAAATACTTTCAAATTTACGCTTCGAAAATCAAGCAGCTTACCACATTATTCATACATAAGAATAAGCAGCCATGATCAGTTTGGTCCTTGCTTAAGGGTCGCATTAGATACAATTTTAACACTGTATCTCCTCTATTCTAGCGATTGATTGCAGTTTCGTTGTTATCTTATGATGATGATGAATTGAATAATGCCATCTAATAAGTCCCTTAAGCAAGGATGGAACCGGTCATGGCTGCTTATTCTTCTGTCTTGAAATATGTGCAATTATTGTTGCAATTTTAATCATATAATTGAGTAAAACATTATTAGTCAAAGAAACAAAAAGTGTGAGTCCGTTATTTTGATATTGACAACCATAGAGCCATATTAGAAATAAACATAAATAATAATACAAAGAGAAAGACCAAATAATTTAAGGCGCTACATTTAGATTCAATATCTTTTTTCTTTTTACTTTTCGCTTTATCTTTATCGAAATCAGCTTGACATGATTCGCATCTATTGCAGAAGTTGCATTTTGCCTTCACTTGTCCATTTGTTTCGTTAATAGTTTTACTTTCTGGTATTTCAGTTGGATTTGTTCTGATAGATTCCTTATCTTCAAGGGAAATATGCTGCTTCTTATCAATGCTTTCTATTCTAATATTTCTTCGACAGCACGAAGCAAATAGATTTTGACCAGAAACACATTTTATTTTTCGAGTGCTTTTTGCTTTTCTACTTTCTTCATCTTCAGTCTTGTTAATCTCACCAATAACATCCTTCTTCTCATCTTCTTCTGGTGGTGAACAGCAGCAAAAGAACACTTTTTGCAACAGTCCACAAAAAGAATAAACTGGTTTTGGCATTTTACCTTTTGTTGTAAAATGATCACATACTATAAACCATGTCATTGATATTAATGTCCAACAAATTGATAATAAAAAGTACAATGTAATCATCATCAAATATTCAGATTGTTGTGGAAATTGACTGGAAAAGTTTAGTGAATAAATAGAATATGTTAGAAAACATGTCATACATAGACCAATTTGTGATCCAAAGGGTATTGCATATGATAACAAAGTAACAAAGTTTAAAACGAAACATGCCAATATACCATTAATGATAAAAAATAATGATTTTCTTTCGAGATATAATTGTATTGATATTATATCATTATAAGTATTTTCAAATGGTGCTCTATCTTCTGCTCGAGTTACAATTATATCCGTTCCATTTAATTTCCATAAAGGATGTTCATTATACCCACTAGTATCAACAAGTACTACACTATTATTTTCTGTATATGTGATTCTATTCGAACCTTGACTCCATGATGTTAAATTGATGTTGCATATTTGTTTATCAAATGGAAATTTTTTAACATTGAAGTCACACCTTGTTCTTACTGTTAATGCTGGAAGTATCATATACACTGCACCTGTATAGTCAACAGATGCCAAACTATAATCACTCACTGTGAGATAGCCACTTGCATCTGCTGAATTTAATATCATCGTATCTGGAATCCATAAGCTTTTAACTGGTAGCATGACTACGTTAATATTATTTGAAGCATTTGGTGTCCATGATAATCGTTCATCGTACCACACTTGTGAAATAAATGAACTTGACGTCATTATTTGTTGTTTTTCATCTATTGATACAATTTGTTGTATTGAGTAAGCGATATCAACAGATACTTGATCGTCTGGTCTTATATTTTTATTATATCCACTTAATAATGTTGTTATTAGTGTTTGTTCAGCTAATTGTGAAGCTCGTAGTGCTTCGCAATCACTGAAATTAAATAAATAACATAACAGGACAATAAAAACTAGCAATTTTATCATTTTGAAGAATGTTATTATTCCTATATACAAAAGAAAAATTTCATTTGTAATGCTATAAAGAGCGTTCTATATTCGAAAAAAAAGAGCAATTTTCAAAAAACTGATTATATTGTTTCGTTTTCTTTCCATTTTAATTGCTTCTCCCTCACCTCACCCTTCTTGTTGAAATGTGAGAATCCAACAATAAGATGTGAGACAGCTCGTTATCCAATATCTGAGCTAGTTTCAATTCTTTCGCTCTTTTCAGATGAGATAATGCAGTTATAATAATTAATTTCAATAATATTTTCTATGCACTTCAGATGAAAATATTGTGTAAGTTTAAAAGAATATTGCGAGATACCTGTTACAATGTTGACATCTAGCTTCGAAAACATAGGACAAATAGACTGTTGAAAGATCTTAGATAGTATGAAGTTTTTGATAGTTAGATCCCTGATAACCGGACAATTCGTCTCAATGATATAATCCAATTATAACTTACTATTATTTTTTCATAAATGAATTGACCTATTAAGATAAGTTAGAAACGCATAATTCCACGAATATGAAAATTCTAGAGACTATTTTTAATGACTAAACTTTGATTTTTAATCTCGAGCAGTACAATAATCGTTTTGTAAACATAAATAGTTCGGTTATATGAAATACGTCAGCAGTAAAAGTTTTCTTATAGAAACAGAAATGGTACTGCATCTTTCTTTCAATTCTTACCGTAGCTCAAGATTTACGATACATGGCGCAATAATTTGAGAAAATAAGTGAAACCTAGTGTTCACTAACAAAGATTGGCTTTAACGTAACCAAAAAGATTTTTGATCAAATATTTCTATTAAATCTCCGTATTTAACGCACAGATTTTATTAGTTTAAAGACGATCAGCTCTTATTTCAAATGTTTAAAATTAAACTAGTTTGAATTAATCGATGATCTATATAGTGCTAACACTAGTTTTGATGATTTCTCACGTTTGAGGTTTTTTCATCTAATCAATAGTAATCGTGAAGTAGAAAATAGATCCGATTTTTTTTTATCAAGCCAGAATATCTTATCACGATACAAACCGAAATAAAAATTCAAAGTTTAGTTATTAAAAATAGTCTCCACAATTTTCATACTTATTGAATTATATGTTTCTAACTTATCTTAATAGATCAATTCATTTATGAAAAAATAATGATAAGTTATAATTGGATTATATCATTGCGACAAATTGTCCTAGCATCAGATCCCTCTCACAACACACTTATTGGCAACTGGCAATAACTTCTCGTCGATATAGCAGCGAGTGCATCAGCTTCTTGTTCATAATGAAATAAAAAAATTAGATATTGAATCAAAAATCTTTTCAGTAATGACGGATAACGGTAACCGTGTCAACTAAGCAACATCATCATATGAATTTTAGATTGAGTAATGAAAAAGATTCAGCAGCAACAACAACAAACATACGTACGGATAGTTCTGATGATGAATTAGAAGAATCTGCGTCTTGTTGATTATGATGTATTCTTCGATGAATAGACTAACTATGGAGATGATTATTCAGATGATAATAATAATGATTTTATACCAATATTTGATTATGATAATGATTATGTACCAAAATTTGATGTTGATAATGATTACGCATCAATATTTGATGATAATAATGATTATGTACTACAGTGCGCGCCAACTCATTTCCCCACCTTCTCTTTTTGCCTTTTTTATCATTAGGCTTGTTTTGTTTATTAAACTCCTATATATAGGAAGATAGCCCAAAAAGAGCTGCGTCTTGTGATATATTTACATTGAACAACAAAAGCAGTTTGAAGTGTAAAAATTGTAATAGAAAAAAAAGTATCATTATTTTTATTACAATTTACATGCACATCTAGTATTCGTTTCACACTAAAAGGAGAGTAAGTATTTTTGAAATAGCTTTTAATAGGAACAAGACAGAGATTTGTGGTTTTAACCATTCGAAAGAGCTGATGAATCTGGATTGAATCGAGAATACATCCTATTCCGCGATGTTGCACATTACGGGAATCCGTTCCACCCCGAAATCAGTTCCATCGAATTCCCGGAATTCCGTTCCGGAATCGCTTTCCATCCTCGCCCTCATGCTGAGCTACCTCGTTATAGATTAATCTCTAAAATAAGTTAGCGATTCCTGAAACTGATTCCCGACCGAAATAAGACGGAATTGAGAGTGATGGGTATGAGTGTGGGTGTGGGTGTGGGTGTGGGTGTTAGTCTTCTGATTCATATATCCACCCCCACACCCACACCCTGCATATCAAACAAGTTAGGAAAATAGTGGACATGGAATTGTTGAAATATAATGAGATGCAAATTGAGATATAAGATAAACTATGGAGATTCTCAACCTTTCAGATCACTTAAGTCAAAAAAAGTCATTTAAAGTCACTAAGTCATTAAGTCAGTTATTCCTTCTTTGGCAGAATCACTCTTATATGCGAAAAGGGTATGCAGAAATCTGTTTCATCAACAAGTTTTAAACGAACAAGTTCAGATCATGTCGGTTTGTGAAACACTATTCGTCAATTGCATTTAAAATAAGTAAAGGATGATTAATAATACTGATAGGGTGTG